GAATTATGCTTGAGCTCAAACCCGATTAAATTAATCAAACTCAAGCTCAAGCCGAGTGTGGTTCGCGCTCGACTCGACTCATTTACACCCATACCTACAATAGCCAAGAACATTGATTGTTTAACATGCAAATTATAAAAAAAACTATTTAAAAACTATTTTAAGTATTTTAAAAAACACTACATTAAAAAAAAAATAAAAATAAAGAAATATGTATTCAAAAATAAAAAAAAAAAGAAAAAGAAAATGGAGACTTACATGCACACCGCTCAATTCTTTTTTACTTGCATATCCAAAACCTAAGCTTCAATTTTTGCCGGGATACTACTTTACCTATGCCTTAAAAGGTGTATTTCACTTTACAAAAGGTAAAATGGTGGTGTTTTTAAGTGATGAAAGATATGGGTGGCATAAATGTAAAACTCAGGTGTTAGTATGTAAATAACTAAGAATTGGGTGGTATGCATGTAAATGCCTTTCCTACCTTTTGGATGCCAAATATCATGGAACTAAATAATGTAATAAATTTTGTGCGTTTTAAGTGATATGGTCCTGCTCTCATAGCATCCAACAGCAGGAAGCCTGTCAAGTTGTACATAAATCATGCTATCCAGTCATGAAAAGGAACTTCAAAAAAAGAAGCTATCAAAATGCTATAAACTGTAATCTGGCTTTTGAATTTACAAAATCCACACCATTGGGTGCACAAATGATTTTTTTTAAAGATTCGTACATTATAGCAGGAATTTCTATGTAACTTGCTTTTTTTGATGTGTGTTGCCATTGGCATCCCCTGGATTGTGCGAGTTCAGCTTTTCTCCGTGTTGTACATAAATTTACATGCTTGGGCTGCTCTGCCTCAAACAATTCAAATTGTGAGGATGCCATCATCTCGCCAGGATAGATTTTGATCGCCAGCTTGGTTTTCTTTTGCTGAAGTTTAAATGTATTGACATCATTAGATATCACGTTATAAAGAAAAATACTAGTTATCAGGCAGGGTTCTACTCAACAGAATCCTGAAAAATATTCATTGTGCTGACAGAATTAGCAGCTGGTGATGGTTCTTCCTCCCGCTCAGGCTGGATGTTAAGGTCAATCTGTGTCTTTATAGGAGATGGCACGGTTCGCCTTCTCTCAGATTCAATATCAGCCACAACATCATTTTCCACTGGCATCTGAGGGGAGCTGCTCACACCTTCAAGCTGATGGATGGGAAAATTTGGTGGTCGTGATATCTCAGCTTCTATTTCCGACTTTCGCTTTTCACGTCGGAGCATCAGTGTTCTAAACCGACGCTTAACAGTGATGCACACATTACATGTGCAAGTCTGCTTATGCTTTGGGCCTTTGCCACTCGGAGGCTGGATGCAAACAATGCAGGTGCATCCAGGTCTATGGCGTGGATGCTTTGTTGTTGGCTGGGAGGAAGAAGGGAGTGGCTCGCCTTCCCCTAGAATTGCAAGGTTGGCAAGTGTGTCAAGCCCATCAATAACGTCAACATTCTCGTTATCATTCTCAATCTCATTCTCATTTTCATTCTCAAATTTCACCTTTGATCTCTTCCAGGATCCTTGGCATAGAATCAAAACAGGGTTACGGTCGTTAAAATTCATCCGACTGGAGAAAGAATGCATAATGATCATATAAGACTAAGGGAATAAATTGAATCCCATACAGTTGACAGTGCTTGATTTTATCAGGCACTAATACCTGTTAATGATTGGTTTTAGTAGTTATGTTTGACAAAATCTAATGAAACGTTGATATACTATTACGGAAGTAAACCCAAACGTGGATGAAACAAAAGCATTGGGTGGTGCATACCAGTTCTTGTGCGGAGCAAATGTGTAATATCTGCAGAAATTTCCTGGGCAGCTGAGCAGGAGGATCTGTGTTTATCAGAAATTAGATGATCACTAATCAGCTCAATTACAAAAATATTATGTACATTAGGTCCCACAAAAATATACAACAACAACAATAACAAGCCTTTATCC